AGGGTGAAGCGGCCGCCGGGTTCTCCGCCTGTCTTCAAGGCGCGTTACGTTGCTCAAGGCTTCAGTCAGCGACAGGGAGTTGACTTCTTCCAGACCTTCTCCCCTACCCCGAAGATGACCACTCTTCGGGTGCTGCTGCACGTCGGCTTCACTCTCTTGACTTCAGCACAGCCTTCCTACAGGGCAGCCTGCACGAGGAGATCTGGCTGCGACGCCCACCTGGCTTCACTGGGTCGTTTCCTGCAGGTACCCAGTGGAGCCTCCGGCGGCCAGTCTACGGTCTCCGCCAGGCGCCTCGCGAGTGGCACGACACACTGAGGACGACGCTTGCAGCTCTTGGGTTTGCTCCTTCGACTGCTGACCCGTCGCTGTTTCTACGCACCGACACTTCTCTGCCGCCGTTCTACATCCTCGTGTACGTCGACGACTTGGACTTTGCCACTGCTGACACTGCGGGACTGGCCTTTGTGAAGTCGGAGCTGCAGAAGAGACACACGTGCACAGACCTGGGTGAGCTACGCAGCTATCTTGGCATGCAGATCACCCGGGACAGAGCACAGCGCACCATTACCTTTACTCAGTCACACATGGTGCAGCAGGTCCTTCAGCGCTTTGGCTTCACGTACTCCTCGCCACACTCCTCAGCCTACCGGTCACTCGCTCTCAGCTCTGCCTTCGGATGAGTCCGTAGAGCCGAGTGGCCCGTATCCAGAGCTTGTGGGCTGCCTCATGTACCTGATGACCTGCACTCGACCTGACCTTGCCTACCCTCTTAGCATCCTGGCACGCTACGTTGCGCCCGGGAGACACCGACCAGAGCACTGGGAGGCCGCTAAGAGGGTGTTGCGCTACTTGTGCGGTACGTCGGGCATGGGGCTCGTGCTTGGAGGACGGGCTCGAGTTGTCCTCACTGGCCACGCAGACGCTTCTTGAGTTGACGACTTGGCTACGCAGCGGTCGTCACAGGGTTACACTTTCAGCCTTGGCTCCGGCTCTGTTTCGTGGCGGTCTACCCGCTCGTCTTCTGTTCTCAGTTCCAGCTGTGAGGCTGAGATCTACGCAGGGGCCATGGCTGCACAGGAGTTACGCTGGCTCACCTACCTGCTGACCGACTTGGGAGAGCCGCCTCGTTCTCCTCCAGTTCTGTACGTCGACAACAAGGCCATGATTGCCTTGTGTCAGGAGCACAGACTGGAGCACAGAATGAAGCATATCGCTCTGCGCTACTTCCTTGGTCGAGAGTTGCAGCAGCGTGGTCAGCTTCGTCTTGCTTACGTGGCCTTTCGGGCCAGCACTGCTGATATCTTCATCAAGGCACTTCAGCCTTGTGATCATCAGCGTTTCTGTACTGTTCTAGGCCTTGTGCCTACTTGGTCTCACTTTCTCACTTCTTGACTTTGCTTGTACTGTGATCTATATACATATACCTGCATGCTTACACTTGCTAGGTTGTGATCACTGTAGTGTTTGTTCTCCTTTATATAACTCTGCATGTGAACTGGCCTTGTGGCCATTTGTTTGTGCTCAGAATGCGTGGTGACTTCGTGGTCCACCCTGAGCCTGCTTTGCTTTTCTTGACCGGTCTTGTGACCTCTTGTTCTCCCCCACTTTGCCTATGGGGGTGTGTCAAACTTATATGCTGCTTATTGTGTAGGCTATAGTGGGGTAGCCCATATGGGGTACAACCCAATTAGGGTTTGCTACTTGTACCCATCCTGCTGCTAGTTCATTCCATTCTCGTTCGTACTTTTGACAAGGATCGCCTCTGAATATCGATTAGAACAATCGTTCTAGCGAATCGATCGGTGAAACGGTTTGCGACCGTCGATTTTACAATCGGCAAAACAAACTGGGCAGGATGTTCCGCATGGTGCGCAAAAGCTCATCGTTAAACAACTCGGGTGATTCGCAAGCAAGTGGGTCAGTCGTCCCTGTCCTGCCCGGCGCATGCTCATTTGTGCAGCGACAGTGTCGCGATCGCTCATCACAATTCTACGATCAGTGGCCTTCTGAGGATGTGTACGAATATTTGATAAATTGGCTTTGAAGCATGTTTACGTGCTGGTGAATAGGGTAACCAATCCGCACATCGATCGCATCAGACGATCGATCGTCTACTTTTACCGCGTCCTAAACGAAGCCAATAGGAAGAGAGTGCGGCCTCCATCTGCTTCAGGGAGTGTTACCAGCGAAAGGAACGTATGTGGCGGTAGGCAAGTGCTAGCGGGTAGGCAAGCAGGGCGCACGAGTGCTGCTTAGGGTACTAACGGCTGATGGCGTTGCTGGCGCTACTGGTGCTACAAGCGCTAGTGCTGCTAGCTGCTGCGCACACTGCAACAGTACGTTGCTGCTGGTTGGGGTGCGCATACTAACTGGCTATGGGCGTGCGCTGCTGCTGGTTGGAGCGCGCGCGCTGGCTAGCTTGGGTGCGCGCTACTGCTGGCTAAGCGTGTGTGGCTACTACTGCGGCGCGCGGCTACTGCGCGCGTTGTGTGTGCGGTGGCCCCGAGCGCGCTGGCAACGCGCGCTGCGTGCACTGTCGGCTGGCGCGTGCTGGCTGCTGAGGTGCACGGCGTCTGGCTGCTAGCGTGAGCGCGTGCAGGGCTGTTGGCGTGCGCGCTAAACACGGCGTGCGGGCTGGCGACGGGCGATAGGGAGCTAGTGGCTGGCAGCAGGCTGGCTAGGACGGGCGGTGGGACGAACGGAGCTAGATAGGTCGGCGGGCTAGGTTCCTAGGAACTTCCTAACGATGATACCATCTCATAATGTAACATCGGAATGAAATGACTAGCAAGGGTTGAGATACAAATAGGCCTGTACCCTATAAAGAGTACCTCACTTTAGCTTAACATGCAAATATATCATTTGACAAAAATGTTGTGGAGACATTAACCATTAAATTTCTGTCAATTCAGGGTGACCCTATGCGGGAGAATGTGGGAGTTACCCCATATACTTCGCAATCGTCAGAACCTCCAAACAAATCGACCATTTCGTTTGGTCGTTCCCATCTTCCACACCTTTAGAAAGTAGCATAGAACCGCTTGTACTGGTACTGTAACTAGGTTGGTTGTTTGTTACTCAATCAGAACTTCGTGCACAGATTTTTCGTTTTGCCAATTGTCGACCATTCCCCCAAATTACGCCATCTTTCCTACCTTTAGGGCGTGTAAAGTTGTAACGCCCAAACCAAATGGTCGCTCATTTGCGTGTTTCTGGCGATTGCGAGGTATTAGGGTTACAACGATTTGAGTAGTCACCTCGAATTGATAAAATTTCTATGGTAGTTTCCCCATTGAAATGTACGCACCGCATATTGGGACTACCTAGACCAGGCCCTACGAAGTCAGACTTTTTTCTCTGATTTGCACAAAAAACTCTGATATTTCATATTCTTTTTCCAGTGTACTCTGATAAAATCAGACTTTTTTGGGCCCAAACTCTGTAACTTTCAGACTTTTTTTAAGGCTAACTCTGAGAGTTCAGAGTTTTCTGAGAGTGTACTCTGATCATTCAGAGTACAAACGCGTCCTTGACTGGTGATTCGGACTTACGGGTCACAACACATTCGCAATGTCAAAGCAAAATCGCCTTGACACAGCAAATCCGAGCCTTACAGCACAAGATTTTCGCCCAATCATAGCAAAATCGCCCTGACACAACAGATTTGCGCTGTCAGAGCACAACAATTTTCGCCCAATCACAGCAAACTCGCCCTGACATTGCATATTCGCCCTTTCGCACCACAAGATTCGCCCTGACACATATATTCGCCCTGTCAGAGCATGTTTTATCGGAAATCCCCTTAGTGTTGCGTGTTTCGGTAGCAGATGAATGAAACATTGATTACATTCCGATGAAACATTGAATACATTGTTTTTGAATGATCAGACTTTTTTTTTAGGACACTCTGAAATTTCAGCCTTTTTTTTATACCAACTCAGAGATTTTCAGACTAAAATTGTGTACTAGTCTGACGAATCAGACAGGCCAAAAACGAATCTGAGGGCCTGACCTAGACTGATGCTCAGCGGGGAGAGAATATTCATGTTTACCTAAACCTGATGCTTTGTTAAACACCCTAGCCTAGGCTTCAGACTCCTGTTATTCCACACCCGACTAGATAAAGTTATATATTGATCGTAATCAATTGAACTATCCCTTTCCCAGATAAACACGTGCGAACCCCCTTCTTGGGGGGCTGGCAGAACACGCCTGCACGGGGGTGGGTTCGATCCCAAGACCTTATCCTTCGGAAGTCCCATCTACTTGACTGGGCCACTTCGGGATGCCACACCCGACTAGAATGCAGTAAATGGAATCAAAACTTTCACTTTTGATTTAGGGAATGGTTTGGGGTGGGTGCCCCAGATGCTGTCGAAATGTGTGGCGGGGTTCGCTTACGCGTTACATATTTCGCACTCGCCCGAAACGATAATATGATCGACCATTTGGTTCGGGCGTTACAACTTTACACGCCCTTAGATATATATTCTCTTTGCGCGCAGTCTCTGTACATTTCGACGATTACTGAGCGAAACATAGAACAAGGTTCCTTGTAACCACCAAGTGTCAGCGCAAGGCAGACCGGGGAACGTTTGCGAAGTCTTTTGCTACGCGACCAGCTCGATCGATTTCAATGCAAACCTGTTACGCGCGCCAATCGAGACTACTGCCCAAGCAACCTACCTACCATTGAAACCATGAATGTCGGCTACAGTACAAAGGCTGTGATGTCCGCCTTGAAAGACTCCCTGTTATGTTGGTCACCTGGTCACCGACCGTGCGCCCATCTCGGGGACTTCGTGATGTCCGCTAGAATGACTTTCTTGAGAGCTCTTAGCATTTCACGTAGCCCGAGTTCAGTATGCACTCATAAGCCAACAAGGTTGAACTATAGAACTCTTGGCATTCCAGACTGCGGCTTTGAGAAAACGACAGGTATCGCCATTCGTCTTGTTCAACTCTCCTTCTCTCGACCCCTGTGACCAGTTCCCAGCATGTCGTCGCACCTATTCGACGCCGTCGTCGCGCACAGCGATCCCGCCGCGCATCTCGCCCACCCCGCCTCCGCCCCACTCTCCCATCCCCGCCGGACCTCGCCGCGTGCCGTGCCGCCGCCGCGCGAGGCGCACCACTTGCTCGTCTTGGAGGGCTCGCGCTTCACATGCGTCAGCGCGCCGCTCTCGCTCTCGCTGCGCCTCTGCTTCCAAGACCACAGCGCCAGGGGTACCGCCGCCGCTGACTGCTCGGACTACCATCAGCACGCCGAGCAGCGCGCGCAACTGCTCGCGCCGCCCTTTGACGGCGGTTCCCCTGATATCTCTCCCGAAAGGCGGGGGAACGGAGCCTTGGGCGAGTCCACGGGGATAGGCCTTGGCGCAAGGCAGGAGGCGGAGGAGGCGGAGGAAGCGGAAGAGGCGGGGGATGCGTGCTGCGAGCGGGAGGGGATGCACGTGCACGCGCACGTGCATCATGGCGACGCGATCACCGAAGACGTGCTGCTCGAACCGGTGCGTTCTCCAACCCACCCGAGAGGGAATGACGTCGCTGCTGCCTTGCTGTGCCGTCGCCTTTACCCTTTCCATTCCCCACTAGCGCTTCCCATTCCCCCCTTGCGCTTCCCATTCCCCCCTTGCGCTTCCCATTCCCCCCTTGCGCTTCCCATTCCCCCCTTCCGCCTCCCATCCCCCCTTGCGCTTCCCATTCCCCCCTTCCGCCTCCCATCCCCCGTTGCGCTTCCCATTCCCCCGTTGCGTTTGCCATTGCTGCTCGCCTAGTCAACGTAGTCAACCACACTGCCCGTCCCTTCGCCTTCCCCCGTTATTGTCACACTCCACAGTGCCTGCACGAAGGTGTGCTGTCGCCCTGCCTGTGCCCCTCCCCGGCCCCCTCGCCCCGCCTCCCCTCTCTCTGCGCCCTGCGCGCATCCTCCCCTGACTGCATCGACACATCCAGTGGCGCAATTGTCGGGGAAGGGGGGAATGACGCTTCGAGGAGAGAGGGGGAGGGTGTGACGGGGTCAGTGACGGAGGGGCATGACGGCGCAGAGGAGCAGGGCGAGGGGGGCTGGCACGTGCATGAGGAGGGGTGTGGGCATGGTCGCATAGTGCATGGCGACCACGTGGACTACCTCATGCCGCTCCTCGATGGCTCCTTCCTGCTGCACCACGCGCATCACCTGCCCCATGCGCCCCACACGCATCACTCGCCCCCCCATGCGCATGCAATGCGTGATGCGCACGGGCATGGTGATGAGCACGGGCATGGTGATGAGCACGGGCATGGTGATGCGCACGGGCATGGTGATGAGCACGGGCATGGTGATGAGCACGGGCATGGTGATGAGCACGGGCATGGTGATGAGCACGGGCATGGTGATGAGCACGGGCATGGTGATGCGCACGGGCATGGTGATGAGCACGGGCATGGTGATGCGCACGGGCATGGTGATGAGCACGGGCATGGTGATGAGCACGGGCATGGTGATGCGCACGGGCATGGTGATGAGCACGGGCATGGGGATGCGCGCCCTGTGCACGGGGAAGCACATGATGGCCATTCTGGCGATCCTGCTCACCTCACCACCCATGCCCACGCCCATACCCACGCTCATACCCATGCGCATGCCCACGCCCATACCCATGCCCATGCCCATCCTGGTTCGGACCCTCATCCGCATGCGGCAGCAAGCGCACATGGCAGTGGCATGGCAGCAGGGCCATCCGTGAGCCATCCCGTGCAGCCCCATTCCCATGGACCCACACCGCCTTGCGCCTCCTCGCCTGCCTGTGGAAGCAGCTGCAGCGCTGCCAGCCACAGCAGCACCCCGCATGCTGCGCACTCTGCCAGCACCACTGCCCCGCACGCTCACCCCGCTGAGGCGCACAGGCATGACGCGGCGGCAAGCACATGCGGTTACCACGTGCACGAGCACGGGCGGCTGGTGAGGGTCGGCGCTGCCACGGGGCTGCTGAGGCGGCGCGTGGGCAAGCAGCGTGTGGAGGTGTTTGACTTTGTGCGCCATGCACCCACCCCCGCCCACACTCCCACGTGCGCCCGCAGCTGTGGCAGTGCGGCAGCGGGATGCTGCTCTGATGCCATCTGCTCCTACACTCGGTTGCCGTCCTGTGATGCATGTGATTATATGGAGGGCAACGAAGGAGCAGCACAGAAGGGAGTGAAGCGGCGTGATTCTTCTGGAGCGGAGGAGCAGGCAGGTCCGTGTGGTGGGGGTGCATCTTCCGACCCTGCTGCAGCTGCAGCGAGTCTGCTTGATGCTGACGTGGCACAGGTGGTGAAGAGTCAAAGGGTGCAGGCAAAAGCAGCTTCTCTGATTGGCTGTCATGCCCCGATGCCACCTTTGGCACGTGAGGAGCAGTCCCGTGGCAGTGAACAGTGTTGTACAGCCAGTAAGCTTCATGACAAAGACGATCATGGCTGCAGCAGCAACGGCGGCGGCCATCACCGTCACAGCAGGCACAGTCACGCTTGCACGACCAGCCATGCTGCTGCTGCTGGCAGCGCTAATGGCGTTGACATCAGCGAGGCAGCAGTGGGAGGGGCGACGGGGTGTGGCGGGCAGGGCTGCTGCACTCATGCAGAGGGCACTGGGAGTTCAGGCGAGATGGTGGTGCTGGTGGGTGGGGGCGACAGGGAGGGGGGCGGAGAGGAGGCAGAGGTAGTAGGCGAGTGGATGACCAGAAAGCCGTCTCGATTCGTCTGGTGGTCAACCAGCGCGTGCAAGCGAGCAGTCACTGCCATGGCCAGCGCAGCAACCAAGGCCTTCCAAGGTGCCCTGCCGCACAGCAATGCTTCCGCGCCTGCTGCTGCCGCCCCTGCTGCTGGCGGGGCAGTGGTGACGTCACGGGTGGACGTGTTGGGGCTGTGCTGCACGGCGGAGGTGGCGGTGGTGCAGCGAGTGGTGGAGGCGCTGCCAGGCGTGCTGCACGTCGCCGTCTCCGTGCCCACCAGGACTGCCCTCGTGCGCCATAACGCCTCCATCACCCCTGTTGCTCATATTGGTGAGTGGGTGCTGCTGGCGCAGGCAAGGGTGCAGTGAGTGGTGGGGGTGAGTGGAAGTCGTTTTGGTCCTTCCCCTCACTCCCCCTCCTCCTCCCCTTCCCTCCCCTCTTGGGGTCCCATGCCACCAGTGGCGGCGCTGAACGACGCGCATCTGAATGCCAGCGAGCAGCACAGGGGGCGGGTGCGCGTGGCGTCGTCGCTGCCGTCGCCCTCCACACTGCTGTCGGGCGCGCTGCTGCTCGTCTCCCTCTTCCACTACCTCCTCCCCCCCCTTGAGTTCGTCGCCCTCGCCTCCATCGCCGCTGGCTTGCCGCCCATTCTGCTGAGCAGCCTCGCTGCACTGAGGAGGTTCATACTCGATATAAACACACTCATGGTCATTGCAGGTTAGCTCTGGTAACGGGGATCAAGACGCCCGTGTAGTCCTGGCTTGGAGACGCAGTGTGGGGTCAGTGGAGGCGTGGGTCACTTATGTTGTTCGTCTGTACCTAGCGAGTGTGTGTGTGTGTCCGTGCCTAGGGTGAGTGCACGCATCCATGCGTCCGTTCCTCTGTGCATACAAGGGCGTTCGTCTGTCCGTCCCTTGTGTCGCTGACGCTTTTTCCTGTTGTCTCCCCCTTCCCCCCCTCAATCGGCCTCTCATGGGCTGCCAGTGGGGGGCGCCATAGCCATTGGCGAGTATGTGGAGGGCGCCTCTGTGGTCTTCCTCTTCTCCCTCGCCCACTTCCTTGAAGCACGCTCCACTGATAAGGTGGGTGGCTACCGGGGACATGGGAGCTTCCACATAGTTGCGGGCTACCAGATATGTGGGTGCCAGGCTCCCCCTTCCTCTCTCCATGCGTTCCTCCCGGTTTCTAGTAGTTTGCTTCCCCCCATTTTCTATCCACACTTCCCTTTGCCCTCACGCATGTGTTGCTCCCTTGCCCACCTGTCCCGATAGGGTGGGCTGCATGCATCAGCTGGGCTGCACCGATGGATGCCAGACATCCCCTTCTTCTCCCTTTGCATCCCTCCCGCTTCCCACTTGTTCGCTCCCCTTCCCCTTTCTATCCGCACTTCCCTTTCCTCCCTCGCCCATGTGGCTCCCAATGACGCATCGAACGCACGCCAACAGCCCCCCTCGTTCCGCTTCCCTTGTCTCCACTGCCCATCCCTCCCCCTCTCAGGCGCGGGTGGCCATCCAGTCACTCATCGACCGCGCCCCACAGACGGCTGAGCTGGCCGCCACAGGCGAGCAGGTGGGGAGGGAGGGGGGGGGGGAGGGTGGGGGGGGCTGGAATGGGAGACGCATCTCTGGGTGGGTGAAGTCGGTGGGCGGATCCCCTGGGGGGCTGAGACGGATAGGGTGGTGTGCAGGGGAGTGATGGGGAATGGATATGTAGGGGTGCTAGCAAACAAGTGTGGTGGTCTCCTCTTTGTGGGCTGGTTGGCATCTGCGTGTCTCTCTTTACCCTCGTTTTCTCTCATTGCTCCCCCCCTCCCCTTAACCCCACCTCTTCAATGGCACCATGCGCCACAAGTACGAGAGCAGTGAAGATGGGTACCAGCAGGTCTGGATCCCTTTGCCTGCCATGTGCAAATGGGGGGCAGAGCAGCTCTCCCTGTGGAGCCACCCCAACACCGCTTCAGTCCCACCCTGTGCCCATGACAGGTGGCGGTGGAGGACGTGGCGGTGGCCACGCTGCTCGCAGTGCGCCCAGGCGCTCTCGTGCCGGTGGATGGAGTGGTGCAGAGCGGTGCGAGCAGCGTGGATGAGAGCAGTCTGACAGGCGAGTCGCTGCCAGTGTTCAAGGACGTGGGCGCTCCTGTGTGGGCCGGCACCATCAACACCACAGGCCCGTGCTGCTCCTCTCCCTCACTCCACCAACCAACCAACCAACCAGCCATGCTGAAACCCCACCCTTTCGCTCTCACTCCTCCAACCAACCATCCAACCACTCTCAACCACCTCGTCCATGCGTCCGTCACCCTGCCTGCCTCCCAATCGCGCCCCAGCACGTGCCCTCCTTTCTCTCTCTCATTTTACCTTGCCAGCCATGTCTCTCGCTGCGAGCCCTGCCTTGGCCTGTCCAATCAAGTCTGCCTGCTCCCTGCATGCACGCCCCTCCTTGCCCATGTCACCTACCCCTCCTTGCCCATATCATCTGCCCCTACTCATGCCATCCTCCTGTCAGAACTGAGCTTAGAATCGATGCATTACTAATGAGCTTGGAGCTCCGTAAGTACATCCAAAATGAGCTTGGTATGGATGGGGAGGGAATCTGGGGCAATCCCTAGGGATTGGGGGTTATCCCAAGGCAATCTCCAATTGGTGGGTAGGAGATTGCTTGGAGATCACATTTAGGTTTGGTTGGGATGTGGGTAGGCAATCTCACATTTAGAGTAGTGTAGTTTGCACTTTGTGTTTGGTTGGGTGTACACCCAACCAAACACAAAGTGCAAACTACACTACTCTAGAGGTGAGAATGAGGGCTAACACTAACACCTCCCACCGTCCCTCTCGCCACCCCTGCCTCCGTTCCCAACCCTCACCCCCGTCAGGCTACTTCACCATGAGAGCCACGGCGCTGGCGTGCGACTCGGCAGTGGCGCGCATGGTGGCGCTCATCGAGGCAGCGCAGGCCAACCGCTCGCCCTCACAGCGCCTCGTGGAGTCGTTCGCCCGCGTCTACACGCCCACCATCGTGCTCTCTGCGCTGCTGCTCGCCCTCGTGCCGCTCGCCGTGCCCTCCGCCGACCACCTCTACTTCTTCCGCCTCGCACTGCTGCTGCTCGTCGTCGCCTGCCCGTGCGCCCTCGTGCTCTCCACGCCCGTCACCGCTGTGTGCGGCATCGCACGCGCCGCAAAGGACGGGGTGCTGGTGAAGGGCGGCGCGCACCTGGAGATGCTGGGGCGCGTGCGGGCGGTGGGTGTGGACAAGACGGGCACGCTCACACATGGCCGCTTCCAAGTGGTGGGCTTTGAACTCGTGGACGGCGCTGCCTGCACCAAGCACGAGTGCCTCCAGTGGTAAGCGACTCGCTGCGGACGAGAATCACTGACTTTATTGAACGAGTTATGGGGTTCGTCCTAGATGCATTTCCAGCTGCTACCATCCCTCTCGTGCACTGCCCCCCGTATTGCCTCCCCCCCTCATCTCTCTGTCCTCGTTCATGAGCCTGCTTGTGGTCCCACCGTCTCCCTGCCATGCACCGTGGGTCTCTCCATGGGTGCAGGCTGGCAGGCGCAGAGAGGCAATCCAGCCATCCCATGGCGTCCGCCCTGCTGGCCTACTGCCGCCACCACGGCGTTGAGTCCAACGGGCCGCTGCCGGCTGCTGCTGCATGCGCCCCTGTAACAGCAGCAGGCTGCGCACACCCCCATTCCACGTGCTCCCGTGCTGGTGCAGGCAGCAGCTGGGGCGACTTGAGTTGTGGAAGCAGCAGCAAGATGGGTAGGAACGGTAGTGGCACATGTAGCACACGTGCTACTGCTAATGGTGGATGCAGCAAGCCACACGTCACATGCAATGCGGCTGCTGACACATGTGGCATGCCAGATGGCGCATGTGCCATGCTGGGTGGGGCATGTGAAGACAATGGAGGGTCATGTGGTGGCAGTAGGTCACATGGCGTGGTTGCAGCCAGCAAAGGTTGCTGTAAGGCGTCTCATTGCCAAGACAGACAGCAAGGCACTGCTGCAGAAACCGAGGCAATCTGTACCGAGGATGCGACTGAAGGGGGGGTTGGACGGGCAGCAGGAGGGACAGAGGGTGGCAGGGAGGGAGGGGGGGCGAGTGGGTTTGAGACGGTAGCAGGGGAGGGCGTGGAGGCGGTGGTTGGGGGCAGGCGAGTGCACGTGGGCAACGAGAGGATGGCCTTGCGCCTCGGGTGGACACATGGTAAGGTCCTCCATCCTCACCCACCCATTTGCCCCCCCTCATGAATGATATCACCCAAACATGCTGAGCCCAGTCATTGGCTCACCTTGATCACATCTCTCCACGAGTCTCCACTGGCACCATTGGGTTTGCCGGCTCTGCCATAGCGTGGCCACTGCCTGCTCTGTCACTTACATGTCACCCCACTCCACTCCCCTGTATCCCTTCACACATGGCAGCTCTCCTCCCCGGTGTGTGCTCCGGCCTTTCCCACTCATGTCCTAATGCCACAGCTCCCTCCCTCTCTCCCCTCCCCACCCCCAAACCAGCCTGCCCCACCCACCCAACCATTACCCCCTCGTTGTTTTCTTGCTCTGCATTAATCTCAAAGCTACGCTCACTTGCCTCCCTGTGGACGGCCATCGCAACGGGTTCACCTCTGTTCGTCCTCTCCCACCCTCCCACATCCCACCAGCCATCGCCCCCGCGCTGCTCTCCCACTGGCTCAGCCTCGGAGCCACGGTGGTGTGGCTCGGCGTGGACGGCCACCCCAAGGCAGTGATTGCCGCAGCTGACTCGCTTCGGGCCGAAGCTGCGGAGGCGGTTGGGCAGCTGGTGAGGGGACTGGGGCTGCACGTGGCCATGCTGACGGGCGACAATGCGGGCGCTGCCAGTGCCGTGCAGCAGCAGGTGCGAACGAGGGGGGTGTTGGGTTTGAGGGGAGAACAGGGGGGAAAGAGGGAAGAGGGGAGGGGGGTGTTTGGTTTTAGCCTTTGTGGCTGAAGGAGGAGAAATTGAGAGGCGGTTCGTGTTATAGTCTAGAGTCCACTTAGGGGTCGTAGATGCCCTTGAAACCACCTAAGCAGAATCTGATGACTTCGAACCGCCTCTGTTCAAAACGCCGTCACGATCAGCTCCGATAACAAACGAGGCTGAAACTTGGAGTGACGTTATCTTCAGGTGTCTGCTTTCCAACGGTATATGGCTTGCTTTCATCAGAGTTGTATGCGCTACGCAGTGAACAAAAACGTAAGCTCGGCTGAAAAACGAGTAGCTTCATTGATGCAAGGAAGAGGTTGGTACAACATTGCCTAGGGGACTCATAAGGGGTTGGGTCATCCTGGGAACTCAGAGAAGGTTGAGTCCTAGGGGAGAAAGGCTAGAGAAGAATGGGAAACGTCCTAGCTAGGTCAGCAAAGCCAACCACACTTGGATGTTCAGAGTTGTACTCAAGGCTACCAATAGTGAGTCAAGCCAACATGAGTCAGCTTGTCTTCCCACTTGCACCCTCTTGCAAGTTGCTTCCAGGAAGACCACACTTCTCAAAAGGAGGGTTATAGAGTCCCACTTGACCACCTGTACTTCTTGTCTCATTCTCTGTCCCTGCACCATTGGCATGACAACAATGAAAGGGTGGCAAGGGAAATGCTGCCAACAGTGCACCATGACTACGGAACAGTGAATTTCGGCAGCTGTCACGCAATGCTCAGATGTTGGATCGTTCTGAAACTTGGTGACCACTTGCACAGCGGGGCAAAGGACTGCCAGACCGAATTTCAGACCAATCAGATCTCGGTAGACGAGTCAGCAGCCGAAATGGTGAACTCGGGTGTTACCAAAAAGGAGTAACACACACTTCCGGGATGCCATAAGTCTTGAAACATAAAATGTTGTCATGCCTTGGTAACTGCTTCAAAAACTCTGAAACTTTGAGGGTTTGAAGAAAACGTGTTGAACAACCTCCCCACAAAATTCCAGAAGCTGAGCAGGCTTGTAGGCCGAATGGGAGTGCGATGACCGTGCCACTGTAATGTGTTGGCACAACAAACTCCCCCTCATCGTGCTCTCATTCATCCCTTAGCTGCTCCCTGAAGCTGCCTCCCCTAGTTGAAGGACATGCCACACAAGGTGGCGCAGTTCCAATGCTGATGCTCTGCAAGCCGCTTCGTCAAAAAATCTGCAGGTTGCTTGGTAGTGTTGATGTAGTGCAAGGAGACCGTGCCCTTCTTCACCTCCTTCCTCACCCAATGCCATTTGATATGCATGTGCTTGTTCAGCCCATGGAGCACAGCATTGCGAGCCATTGCAATTGCTCCTTGGCTGTCACAAAACACAGGTGTAGGACCCTCTTGCTCCTGCCCCAACTCCTCAAGCAACCTCCTCATCCAAACCACCTCCTTCACCCCATGAAACAACGCCATGTACTCGCTCTCCGTTGATGAGTGAGCTATCTCCCCTTGCTTCTTAGACTTCCAGCTCACTGGACTCCCTCCAACACAGCATATATAGCCACCATGGGATGTAGCATCACTGATGTCACTTGCCCAGGTAGCATCGGTGAAACACGAGAGGTACAAATGCCCACGCCTTGCAGGTGCACCAGTCTTTGTGCTCACCTCCTCCACTCCCTTTTGCTTCAGCTGCCCATGCACTGAATATTGCAGCCCCACCCTTGAGGTTGCCATGCAGTACCTCACCAGCCTCTCTGCTGCATCCAGGTGCTCTTGAAGGGGCCTAGACACCACACGAGCGAGCTGTGAAACTGAAAACGCAATGTCGGGGCGAGTGTTGACCGAAGCGTACATCAAGCTCCCCACCATTGACTGGAACCGACGCTGCAACTCGTACTCCAACACCTCACCCTCCTCTTCATCAAGGTGCAGCTGAAACCCTGAGGGTAAAGGAGTCTTCACACTCCTCCCTTCCTCCAGCCCATACTTCTCCCCCATGGCTGCAAGGTACTTGTGTTGGTGAAGCCTCAACCATCCCTTCACCTCGTCCCGCTCCACATGAAGACCAAGGTAATACCCCACTGGTCCAAGGGCCTTGCATTGAAAGGTCTCCTTCAGCTTCCCTTGCACCTCCTTTATCCTCTCCAGGGATGGAGAGAAGAGGAGAATGTCATCGACGTAGACAAGGAGAAACACTTTCTCCTCATCCCCCTCGGTTATGAAGAGACTCTCGTCGCACCCGCTAACTTTGAAGCCAAGAGCCTCCAACGCCTCCACCAGCCTTGCATACCAGCACCTTGGAGCTTGTTTGAGGCCATAGATGGCCTTGTTGAGCTTGCAAACACGTCCGCTCCCATCGTCGTACCCCTCTGGCTGCTTCATGTAAATCTCCTCATCTACCACGCCATAGAGGAAAGCCGTCTTCACATCCATTTGCTCCACCTTCCAACCACAAACGGCAGCTGCTGCCAGCAACACCTGGAGCGTAGGAGCCTTGGCAACAGGAGCAAACACCTCCTTAAAGTCAACCCCCTCCCTCTGCTGGAAACCCTTGATCACAAGTCTTGTTTTGCGCCTCTCCAACTTCCCCTCCGCATCGGTCTTCACACGTAATATCCACGTGCAATCCAATGCCTTTCTTCCCGGGGGCAGATTGGTGAGGGTCCACGTTCCATTCTCCATGAGGCTCTTAAACTCATCCTCCCTTGAAGCCAACCAAGCCTCTCGATCATCTCCAGCAAGTGCTTCCTCCATCGAAGCCGGTTCATGAGGTAAGTTGACACCGAAGCAACAAATCTGCTCCATCTCTCCCTCGGCTCCCTTCTCCTCATCATCTTCCTCCTCCTGGACCAGCAATGCCTTGGGACCCCCAAGCCTTTCATACTTGAGGAAATCCCTTGGGTGAGCAGCTCTCTTGGGCCTCTCCTTGGCTGCACTCTCCTTAGCTCCACCACGGACAGCACCACGCTTCCCTTGGGTTGTCCGCCTTGGTGGAAGAGTAGGGGATGGTGTAGGCTGCTGCACCTCCTCCTCGGCATCACCTCTCTCAGCTACAGGGGCCTTCTCTTGCTGCAACACTCCCTCTACCTCTACTGCCTCCCCTTCAGCACCTCCCAAGTCATGTGACACCTCCGTTACCTCTGAAGACGAAGACAACTCGATGGGAATGAAGAGTGGGTCATTCGTTCCCACCTCTATTCCGAGCGGAATGGTGACCTTGCTCCTCCCTCGCTCCAACCACTCCTTGAACATGAGCCCCTCCATGAACTTGGCATCTCTGGTGGTGAAGATGGTGTTGGCTATTGGGTCCCACATGAGCCACCCCTTGCTCCCTTGTGCAAGTCCCAAATGAACAGCCCACACCGCCGCCGCTTGAAGCTTGTCACGCTTTTCCTTAGGGACGTGCACGAGTCCCATGCACCCAAAGACTCGAAGCATATCCACCAGAGGCTTCTTGCCCCTCCATTTCTCCATAGGGACCCAATGCTGCCCTCCCACATGAGTCAATACTCGGTTCTTGATGACGGTGGCATGGCGAATAGCGAGGGGCCAGAACCGTAAGGGTAGACCCGAGTCTACCAACATCGTTCTCCCGCCCTCCAAGATGGTCCGGTTCGCTCTCTCTGCCACGCCATTGGATTGAGGGGTGTAGGCCGTGGTGAGCTGCTGCTTGATGCCATGCCGCTTCAGCCAGCTCCGGAACTCCGCTCCCAAGAACTCCCCACCACGGTCACTACGTATCGCCTTCACCCGCTTGCCGCTCTCTCGCTCCACCATGGGCAGCCACTCTTCAATGATGACCCTTGCAGCATCACTCTTCTTTGCAAGTGGAAAGGACCAGGTGAGCCTTGTGTTGTCATCCACCATGGTCATAGAATACAGGGCCCCACCATCTCCCTTCACCTTCATGGGTCCCACGAGATCCACATGCACGAGCTCCACCGGGTCACTCGACTTCCCCTCCACCGAATGGAAGGGAAACCGTGAAAACTTGCTGGTCAAGCAAGTCTCACAAGATACCACCTCCTTTTGCTCCCCCTTTATCCTCAGCCCCTTGACTCTTTCCTCCTTAAACAGCTGCTGCAACTGAGGTAGCGCCACGTGGCCAAAGCGACGGTGTGCGGTGAGCCAATCCGTCTCACCCGTGCTAGGAGTTACACTTGGAAGCGCAGCCCCTCCATGCCCAAGGAGCCCACCATCACTGTCATCACCACCCCCTCCATTGTCCACGTGGTTAACACGCCCTCCTCTCACATCTCCAGCAGCCAAGCGCGCAGCCGCCTCCTTCCATGGCAGCACCGGTATCTCCCACATGGACCGGTGCATGTCCTTGCCGCCTCGGAGGTCCCACAATACGCGCCCATCCAGAGTTGCCTTGAAAACCTTTGTGCCCAACATCTCCATCTTCATCCCTGCCTCACTTAGGGCCTTGGTAGAGAGAAGGTTGGCACACAATCCAGGAACAAGGAGAACACGCTTCAGCCCCACAAGCCTCCCATCCGCACCCATGAACATGGCTCTCCCCTCGCCACGCACGGGTACAACTTGGCCGGTGGCTGAAACGACGGTGGCTGCCTTTGATGGCCTAACTTCATCCAGTAGATCCTCTCGGTTGGTCATGGTCATGAAGGCTCCCGTGTCGATGACCCAATGGGAGGAGCGGTGAAGAGCAATCTTGCTGGCCGGCACAACCATGTCCTCGGGGCACGCCTCCCCTACATGGTAGAACATGCCGCCGTATCCGCCAGCACCTCCTTCGCCCTCCTCACTGCCCATGCCTTCTCCCATAGCTCCATGAACACCCTTGGAGCCCTCAATTGATGGCTGACCAGGCCTCCAACCGTCAGGTAGCTTGCGGCACTTGAACCATGGGTGCCCTTCCACATGGCAATACCAACACTTGCCGCCACACCGCTTGCCTCCCTTGTTGCCACGCTTCCCTCCCGAATGCTGCTCCCCTCCAGAGCCTTCCTTGGCCTTCCCTTTCTTGCTGCCACGCCCCTTGAAGCCCTTCATGCCATAGGCAGAGCCTCCACCTTCACCGGCAGCGGCGGTCAGCTCCTTCCTCCGAAACTCCTCTTGAAAAACTTGTGCGCGAATCCACTCAAGGGACCACGAGTCCTTCATCCCATTAAGGTTGACCACCAAGGGCCCCCACGACTCCGGCAGCAGGGAGAGAGCCTTGTAGCACTTGATTTTCTCAGGGTAGTCCACACCAGCAGCTGAGAGCTTCACATAGAGGTCCCGGAGTTGATCGAACGCTCCTTGTACGGCATCACCCTCGTTGATCTTCACCGCATGGAGTTGTCGCTCGAGCACCACCACCATTGCTTCGCTGCTGGGGGCATGGACATCCTTCAATATCCTCCATGCCTTAGGACCACACTCAGCTTCCTTGATGAGATGCTTGATGTGGTGCAGCTGGTTGGATGAGAGGCATTGGGAGAGAAGGAAGAATCCATCCTTGGACCGGCGATCCCATTCCTTGGTCGCTCCTTCGCTCGCAGGCCTCTTCAATTCTCCATCCATCACTTCAAGCAGTCCATAATGGTTAAATAGGAGCTCCATCCTGAAGCTCCATGATGCCCAATCCTCCCCAGAGAACTTCTCTAGGTTGAATGCCTTCACATCATCCTTGGCTGGTGTTGAAACGGATGCTATTGGTGCAGATCCGCCTACAACGCCTCTTCCTGCTTCCCCAGCGCCTCTCACGCCACCACTGCCACTAGGACCAGCTGGAGCAGAACCTTCAGCCTCCATATTGACCCAGGAACAGAGAAGAACCGCTCTGATACCACTTGTTATAGTCTAGAGTCCACTTAGGGGTCGTAGATGCCCTTGAAACCACCTAAGCAGAATCTGATGACTTCGAACCGCCTCTGTTCAAAACGCCGTCACGATCAGCTCCGATAACAAACGAGGCTGAAACTTGGAGTGACGTTATCTTCAGGTGTCTGCTTTCCAACGGTATATGGCTTGCTTTCATCAGAGTTGTATGCGCTACGCAGTGAAAAAAAACGTAAGCTCGGCTGAAAAACGAGTAGCTTCATTGATGCAAGGAAGAGGTTGGTACAACATTGCCTAGGGGACTCATAAGGGGTTGGGTCATCCTGGGAACTCAGAGAAGGTTGAGTCCTAGGGGAGAAAGGCTAGAGAAGAATGGGAAACGTCCTAGCTAGGTCAGCAAAGCCAACCACACTTGGATGTTCAGAGCTGTACTCAAGGCTACCAATAGTGAGTCAAGCCAACATGAGTCAGCTTGTCTTCCCACTTGCACCCTCTTGCAAGTTGCTTCCAGGAAGACCACACTTCTCAAAAGGAGGGTTATAGAGTCCCACTTGACCACCTGTACTTCTTGTCTCATTCTCTGTCCCTGCACCATTGGCATGACAACAATGAAAGGGTGGCAAGGGAAATGCTGCCAACAGTGCACCATGACTACGGAACAGTGAATTTCGGCAGCTGTCACGCAATGCTCAGATGTTGGATCGCTCTGAAACTTGGTGACCACTTGCACAGCGGGGCAAAGGACTGCCAGACCGAATTTCAGACCAATCAGATCTCGGTAGACGAGTCAGCAGCCGAAATGGTGAACTCGGGTGTTACCAAAAAGGAGTAACACACACTTCCGGGATGCCATAAGTCTTGAAACATAAAATGTTGTCATGCCTTGGTAACTGCTTCAAAAACTCTGAAACTTTGAGGGTTTGAAGAAAACGTGTTGAACAACCTCCCCACAAAATTCCAGAAGCTGAGCAGGCTTGTAGGCCGAATGGGAGTGCGATGACCGTGCCACTGTAATGTGTTGGCACAACAGTTCGGGGGGGGGTGGGGGAGGAGGAAGAGAGGGGAATGAAAGGGGAGGAGGTGTATTGGGTATAGCTAGGTTGGGGGTTGTACATGTAGCTGAAGATGTATTGTTGGGACGCGCTGACTGCAAGAGCTTACTCTTGCTGCTCTTCTTCCCTTCCCCCCTCCGTCTCTCCCTCTCATCCACTTCATCTCACCCTCTCTCCCTCCTTCCCTCTCTTCCTCTCCAAACCCCTCTTCCTCGCGCCTGCCCGCCCCACTGGTCAGCTGCACCCAGCAGTGGAGGTGCTGTGCGAGCTGCTACCGGAGGGCAAGGTGGCGGCCATAGCGGCACTCAAGGCGGCCCACGGCGTCACCTGCATGGTGGGAGACGGCATCAACGACGCACCCGCCCTTGCAGCCGCTGATGTCAGCATCGCCATGGGTACCATTGCGTCTGCGTCAGCCATGGAGGCCGCTGACGTGGCGCTGATGTCAGACGACCTGCGCCAGCTGGCGCGGACGTTTTTGCTAGGCCGGGCAGTGCGGTGGGTAGTGGTGCAGAACGTTGTGGCATCGGTGGTGGTGAAGGCGGTGGTGCTGGGGCTGGCAGTGGCCGGCAGGGCGCACCTGTGGCTGGCTGTGCTGGCCGATGTGGGCACGAGCCTGGCGGTGGTGGGGAACTCTCTCAGGCTGCTGAGGAAAGGCACTGTGGATGGGTGCTGGTGGTGGGGGGGAGGATGGTGGTGACTATGGTGGTCACTGTTCAAGTCTAATGTCCTACGGTATGTGTGCATGAAATTCGGTTACAAAATCGGTTGTAGCCTCTGAACCGGTGTAATGTATTGACCTTTTCTTCCCACTTTCCCCGTTGAGATGTGTTACAATCCTAAACAGGACTTAGCGAAGGATCGTCCCAGGGTTGATCGCAGATAGTAGTTGTTGCAGCGGAAGTATTGACCTCAGGTAAGAGTGAATGTAAATGACTGAGATAATAAAAACATGCATACATCGGGTTTATATATAGAGTACAGGGAATACCAAACGACCTAGGCTAGCTAGGTACTCTAAGGGGTACAATCCCTTATTACAGCGAAGTTCAACCATGCGGCGCGAGAGCCCGTTTCAAAAACCTTTTCCCGCTTTTTTCACTTCAAATGCATCTGCCTGCATCGGTCTTGATCTGACGGTTGCTGGTGTCGCTTCGACTCTTCTGACTCCTCGGCTTCGTACTCGGTAGAGTCTGCTTCTGCAGCGTACAAGAATGCCTTACTCATTTTTCATATCGTAACACTCCACCTCATTCCTGGTCGCGCAGAGGGCTGACTCGCTTGACTACTCCTGTCAGGTTGGAGCAGTGCTGGTACTGCTGACGTGGCAGTCGCTTGGTGAGGAAATCAGCTGCCATCTCGGTGGTAGGGCAGTACGTGAGGTCAACCTTGCCCTGGTCAATTTCGTCCTTGACGAAAAAAGTATCGAAGCGCGATGTGTTTCGTGCGGTTGACGAACCCTGGCTTGTTCGCGATTTTGATGGCGCTCTGGTTGTCGCAGTGGAGACGAAAGGTGGCCGAATTTGAGATTTTCGCCTCCTGCAGCAGTTCTTGCAGGTAGAGTCCTTCGCGAGCTGCGGCTGTCGCGGCGATGTACTCTGCTTCGGCCGATGACAGGGCAACCAGTTCCTGCTGTCAAACTATGTTTTACATAGTTTATATAACTGCTTGTCGTTAGTGTAGTGTAGTTCCTTCATTACTTGTTTGGTGGTGCACCTTCTCTTGTTCCTTTGCTATATGTTCTTGCAAACCTATAGTGAAGCCCCTCATTCTCGACATCCTCCTTGCACAAGCTACTCTCGACCCCCTTGGCCTAGGCTACTAAGCCTAGGCCCTCGTAAACCCGCTTACCAGTTAAGTTAGTCTCGTAACATGGTATTCAGCTAGAGATTTCCTAGCCTGTCAAATACTATGGGCCCACCAACCCGTCTCGCTCACGTCCCCCGCTCGTAGCTAGTAAACCCGCACCGTCCGGCCACGGCTCGTGGCGTTTTGCCCATGGCGAGCACGCCGACGGACCCGCCAGCGAGCCCATCGACGGACCCGCCGACGATTCCGCCAACGGACCCGCCAGCGAGCTCGCAAGCGGACAAGCGAGACCGCCGACGGATCCGCCGACGCACCCGCCGACGGACCCGCTAGCGAGCTCGCCGACGGATCCGCCAGCGAGCTCGCCAACGGACCCGCGAGCCCGCCAGCACGCGCGTCCGCAAGCCCGCCGACGGATCCGCCGACGAACCCGCCGACGAACCCGCCGACGGACCTGCCAGCGAGCTCGCCAACGGACCCGCGAGCCTGCCAGCAAGCGAGCCAGCGGACCCGCCGACGGATCCGCCAGCAGACCCGCTTGTGCGCGCGTCAGCAAGCCCGCCGACGGACCCGCCAGCAGACCCGCCAGCAAGCAAGCCAACGGACCCGCGGAACCGCAAGCAGGAGAGCCAGCGGATCCGCGAGCCCGCAAGCAAGCGAGCCGACGGACCCGCCGTCGGACCCAGCACCAGGCACCAGCACCTGCGCCAGCCGCCAGCACCAGGCACCAGCAACAGCGCCAGCCGCCAGCACCAGCACCAGCACCACCACCAGCTCCAGCGCCGTCACGCCAGCACCAGGCACCAGCACCAGCGCCAGCCGCCAGCACCAGGCACCAGCACCAGCGCCAGCCACCAGCAACAGGCACCAGCACCAGCGCCAGCCGCCAGCACCAGGCACCAGCACCAGCGCCAGCCGCCAGCACCAGGCACCAGCACCAGCGCCAGCCGCCAGCACCAGCACCAGCTCCAGCGCCGTCACGCCAGCACCAGGCACCAGCACCAGCGCCAGCCGCCAGCACCAGGCACCAGCACTAGCGCCAGCCACCAGCACCAGGCACCAGCACCAGCGCCAGCCGCCAGCACCAGGCACCAGCACCAGCGTCAGCCGCCAGCGCCAGCACCAGCACCAGCTCCAGCGCCGTCACGCCAGCACCAGGCACCAGCACCAGCGCCAGCCACCAGCACCAGCACCAGCTCCAGCGCCAGCCGCCAGCACCAGGCACCAGCACCTGTGCCAGCCGCCAGCACCAGCACCAGCTCCAGCGCCGTCACGCCAGCACCAGGCACCAGCACCAGCGCCAGCCGCCAGCACCAGGCACCAGCACTAGCGCCAGCCACCAGCACCAGGCACCAGCACCAGCGCCAGCCGCCAGCACCAGGCACCAGCACCAGCGTCAGCCGCCAGCGCCAGCACCAGCACCAGCTCCAGCGCCGTCACGCCAGCACCAGGCACCAGCACCAGCGCCAGCCACCAGCACCAGGCACCAGCACCAGCGCCAGCCGCCAGCACCAGGCACCAGCACTAGCGCCGTCATGCCAGCACCAGGCACCAGCACCAGCGCCGTCACGCCAGCACCAGGCACCAGCACCAGCGCCAGCCGCCAGCACCAGGCACCAGCACCAGCGCCAGCCGCCAGCACCAGCACCAGCTCCAGCGCCGTCACACCAGGCACCAGGACCAGCAGCCCCACCTGTGACCAGCAGCCCCCACCTATGACCAGCAGCCCCACCTGTGACCAGCAGCCCCACCTGTGACCAGCAGCCCCACCTGTGACCAGCAGCCCCACTTGTGACCAGCAGCCCCACCTGTGACCAACAGCCCCACCTGTGACCAGCAGCCCCACCTGTGACCAGCAGCCCCCACCTGTGACCAGCAGCCCCAACTGTGACCAGCAGCCCCACCTGTGACCAGCAGCCCCACCTGTAACTAGCAGCCCCAACTGTAACCACTACAGCCCCACCCTCTGCCCTGCCTCTCCCCTCCCGCGGCTGCTGCTGTGGGGGGGAGGAGGCGGGGACGGGGGGTGGGTGAGAGGGGGCAGGCCGACGTGTGAAGATCAGTGCAGGGACTACTGTGGGTGGGGCATGGGCTGAAGGAAGGAAGGGGGGGGAGGGGGTGAGATACAAAGGGGCGGCTGATAAAGGGGGGTGAGGTTGAGGGGGGTGGTTGATTGGGGGTGGGATGTGGGGGTTAGTAAGAGGGGATCGCCGGCATTGAGTAGTCAGGCTCATGCACGCCCCTCCACCTCCTCTCCTCATCCCTCTCTCACCTCCCCCTTCGTGAAAGGGGGTTAGTAAGAGGGATCGCCGGCAGTGAGAAGAAAGACTCATGCACGCCCCCCACCTCCTCTCCTCATCCCCATTCACCTCCTCCTTCGTTCTTATCTCCTCTCCCCCCCTCTCTATCTCTCGCCTCCTCCTCCTCACTTACCTCTCTGCCGTCTTCCGCTGCACCTTGGTGCATCCCTTAACGGGGCGTTACTGCACTTCTTCCTGCAAGCAGTTATGGGGGCGTGTCAAACTATGTTTTACATAGTTCAAATAACTGCTTGTCGTTAGTGTAGTGTAGTTCCTTCATTACTTGTTTGGTGGTGCACCTTCTCTTGTTCCTTTGCTATATGTTCTTGCAAACCTATAGTGAAGCCCCTCATTCTCGACATCCTCCTTGCACAAGCTACTCTCGACCCCCTTGGCCTAGGCTACTAAGCCTAGGCCCTCATAAACCCGCTTACCAGTTAAGTTAGTCTCGTAACACCTGCTTCTGCGAGTTCTAGGAGATTGGTCCTGTTGGCTCCAGGCGAAAGACGAAGCCAGTTCGTGACCGTTGATTGGCGGGGTCAGCAGCGTGGTCTGCGTCCACGTAGCCGTTGAGGTTGAACGATGTTGTTGTCAGTGTGGAGTAGGAGACTCCGATGTCAGGTGTGGATATGAAGTACTGTAGAGCGCGCTCCAGGTCCAGGTGGTTCTCTGCTACTGGCTTGTGGGAATATTGTGCTAGTTGGCTGGCGATGTACGAGAGGTCGGGTCGGCAAGTGACGGAGGCAAACAGCAGGCACCCCAGATGCCGTTGATAGAGATGGAGTCTTGCGGGTGACAGAGATTTGTTGTCCGGTTTGTAGTTGGCGATGGGGGTGCAATAAGGAGTTGAGAGTGGTGCGGGCGAGATTTTGAAGCGTTCCCCCAGCTTCTCTGCGTACTTAGAAGCTGACAGATGAATTGCTTCTGGCGCGTAAGTGATGTTCAACCCCAGGAACTGCGTGACCTTGTGGTTGATGGTGATGTCAACGCGCTGCGCCAGGTTTGCTTCGAACTGGTCCAGGAGCTTGTTGCAGGTGCCGGTGTACAGGAGGTCATCGACGTAGACTGTCAGGAGGATGTAATCGCCGTTGAAGTGAAGGCGGTACATTCCCGGGTCGTGCGGCAGCTGCCTGAAGCCGATCTCCAAAAGTATCTTGTGCAGGTGCTGCTGCCAGAGACGCGGCGCCTGTTTTATGCCGTAAAGGGATTTCTTTAGTTGGCAGACCCTGGGATCTCCTTCCTTGTAAGTGTGAGGTTGCTCCACGAAGATGGTTGCATCGACCAACGCATATAGGAACGCGTTCTTGACGTCGATCTGCCGTAGTGGTAGGTGCTTAGCTGCAGCGTTGGCGGGTAGGATCCGCACAGAGGTATGGCGACCGATGGGAGCGAAGGTCTGGTCGAAATCGATGCCGTGGCGCTGGTCGTAGCCGCGTACAACCCAGTGTGCCTTGAAACGCTCGATAATTCCGTCAGCTGCAGTCTTCAGACGAAAAACCCATTTTCCGCTTAGCACCCTCCTCCCCTTCACTGCTGCACGATCGACTAGAACCCACGTGTCGCGCGACTCCAGCGCTTTCAGCTCCGCATCCATGGCTGCACGCCACTCCTTGGCGTGTGGTCCAGTGAGGGCCTGTCGCGGGTTCTTTGGTTCGAGGATGCGGGGGGTGGCAGTGACTGTTGTGTGCAGGCCGAGAAGTTGAAGGCATGTGACGTTGGATGCACCTTCGGCTTCCTGAGCGGTGACTTCTACTACGTCGTCATCATCGCTCTCGTGGGCCGGCGAGGTGTCACTTGGCAGAGCATGGCGACGTGACGGTCCGGGCGCGGGAGCATCATCGCTGTCATCATCGTCGTCGTCGTCGCGTGGACGAGGAGGTACGACAGGATGTTCGTCCGTGGGGTCGCGGTCAAGCACTGCTGTTGCAGCCTCATCTTCCGGCGAGGCGAAGCTGCGACCGTGGTTGGCGTAAGCTCGTGCAACATGGCTGAGCTGATCTTCGTTCCACTGCTGCAAGGTGAGCCGTTCGTAGAAGAGGATGTCACGCGCTTGCACAATCTTGTTGGTGTTGATGTCGAGGACCAGCCAACCCTTGTACTCGTGGCTGAGTCCCAAGTGAACTCCCCATCGTGCACGTCGAGTGAACTTGCCGATGGTCGCGGATGTCGGCCGATACTGCACCATGCACCCCCAAACCCTCAGCATGGAGGTATCTCTCCTTGTCCCGGTCCATTTCATGTGCGAGGAGAGGTTTCCCCTGTTCGACGTGGTGGAGAGAAGGTTGTGCAGGCGCACGGCGTGGTTCATGGCGTACGGCCAGAACTTCTTGGGTAGGCTGGACTGGTTCATGAGGGCACGGACCTTCGTCATGAGAGTGCGGTTGACTCTCTCTGCGACGCCTTGTTGCTGGTGAGCGTAGGGGAGTGAGATGCCGTGCTTGATCCCCTTCTCCGCGAGAACCCCTCCTAGCTCATAGCTACGAAATTCCTTGGCGCCGTCAGCCTGCCAGATCTTCAGCTTCTTCCCTGATTGCCGTTGCGCATGTGCGAGCCAGATGCGAAAAATCTCAGGAGCCTTGGAGCGGACGTCAACGTTGGCGACCCAAACGTGTCGTGAGTACGCGTCCACGAAAGTGAGGGTGTTGTTTTCACCGTTGAGTCCTTCACAGGTGATTACGATGAAGTCGTTGTAAACCTTCTGCAGCTTCTTGTAGTGATTGGTACTCGGCTCCAGTGAGGGGTAGGCTTGGTGTGTGAGAGCAGCAGTGGGGGAGATGGCAATTCCCCCTCGGTGTGCCCACACCCCGCTGGGTCGTCGTTCGGGCGAAAAGAGGAAAATATAAAGGTTCGCCGCGCTAAAATCGTCCTTTCTTTTTCCCGCTGCCCCCTCCTCGGCAGGTGCCAAGGAGGAGGCATAAATGGGTACAACATGAGGACCTTTCCAGGCTCGCTCCGCTACGCCAAATGCACTGCCTCAGGAGAATCAGCCTGGAGGGCTCCCCGGGCTTAACTGCAGCGGGCATTCATGACCTCTTCCCCTGCTCGCATGTGGGCTGGCTCAGCCTCGCCAGCACCGCGGTCACGGTCGCAGAGCTGAAGGGCATCACGCGGCTGAGTAGGCTTAAGGACCTCCACCTGTCGCACACCAGCATCACCCATGCATGCATGGCTCACCTGGAGGGCGTGCCGCAGCTGCGCGTGCTGGCGCTCACTGGTTGTCGCGGGGAGTCGGCTGCGAGTATGGTGCACATGTCGCGGTTGGGGACGGTAGAGAAGGTGGAGCTGAGAGGCAGTGCGGTGGGAGAGGAGGGGCTGCAGCACTTGATGGCGCTCTCCCACCTGAGGCACCTCTCCGTGCCGCCGGGTGTGAGTGACTGTGGCATGAAGCACGTGAGGGGAATGGCACGGGAGAAGCTGGGCTTGTGGGATGCTGAGTTGACTGCAACTGGTGTGCAGTGCCTCTGGAACCTCATCCATCTGCAACAAGTGGCAACAAATGATGAGCGCATTCAAGGGTGGACTATCACCAGGTCCCTAGATTCATTTTGAGGCACGCTGATCGATCAACGTCCACCCCTTTTGTAACTCTAAGAGTCAGTGTGACCCCAAGGTTTTAGGCTGAAAAATCAGACAATGCTAAAAAAATTCGGTGAACTTTCAGCATGACCTGTAAAACAAAAGCTGGTCATGCATTCTAATATTGAACTCTTACAATCACAGATCTCACATATCTGAGTCAGAGTCTGAGTTCACATTCACAACTTCTACAGGAGCACGCTCAACTACACCATCAACCTCTACAGTGGCCTTCCCAGGCCTTGAAGGCTCCTTGTGTCTTGCGGTGATAGGCCGTCGCTTCTTGTAGCTACGCCAGATCTCTACAACTGCAGGCAAATCCAGCTCATAGTCCAGCAGTGACATGCACAGGAGATCACTCAGCCCATAGTCCTTAATACTCCCTCTCTGCCAGGTCTTATTGATATTCTGTCGAGAGAAGGCTCTTTCACACTCAACAGTGCTGAGAGGCAGGACTGCAATCGCCACCAACAGTCCTACGAGGTTGGGGTACGACTGCTGCCAGTCGGGTGTATTTAGGATGGCAGTCAATCCCGCGTGGAACTTCCGCTCACTCTTAGGAGCTCTGGCCAGGACCGGGCACAGAGTCCTCAGCTCCTTCACAACCCGTTTCTTGTCAATGCCTGCGAATAACAGAACAGTGGAGGGGACTAGTGCTTGCCGGGATTTCAATGCCTGGTCGAGCTTGCAATCTTTAGAAGAACTAACCTGGTAGGATCTCAGGGGAGTCATCTGCGTGAAACAGAGTGACTAGAGACATCAGCCACTCCTCGCAATATGCCCGCCGTGCGTGCCGCTCCCAGTTCGGTGGCCACAAGTCCGGCGTAAATAGCCTCACTCCCGACAGCGAGTCGAGATCGCCGATTTTTGACTGCATGTTCTTGACCAGGATCTCGGCCATGTCGGTGCAGAGCGCCACGCACACGTCGCGATGTCCTAGTCCACAATATCACTCGATGGGGCGTTCGTGGAGGGTGAAGGTGCCGTCAGACGACGCCCCTTCCGTCCACCCCGTAGCTCCATGCTTGGTGATGAACCGGTAAAGCCGCTCGTTGGGACCCTTCCCCCCCCCCCCCCCCCCCCCCCCAACCCCTGAAATCGTCGCCACATTCGACTTACCGGCTCTCCAGGAGAGAGGTAGTGCGCACAATCTGCGGATGCACCAGAGCGTAGTCGACCTGCTACACACAAATCACAGAGGTAGTTAGTATATATGTTCATGAAATGAAGACAATCATTTAAAAGACATACACGTTACTTACCTCGTGCTGCTGGAAAACGCTGGAGAGGACGTTGAGCAGATCCAGAATGTCAGCAAGAAACCTGAGCAGGTTCTGGAAGCGGTACGACGTGATGAGCTTGTACAGAGTCCTGTCCTTCCACTCAAACAGCATGACGACGATGGCGAGCAGGACTTCGACGAACCGCGCGACGGCATCACCCCTCGACAGCTAGCAAATATCACGTATTCCCAGCACTCGAGGTTCGTAGCCGTGAACACCTCCTGCAGCTCCAAGAATCGATGATGACACAGCCCTGAACGCCCCAGGTACTCAGTGACAGCTCAGATCTTATCGTCGACCATGTCGAAGGTTGGGATGGCCTCTGCTGCAGCTTTCGCGGCCAATTTCGCTCGACATAACATACAACACAATCTGTTAAATATGCTCAGGAAAAAAAAAACAGTTATAAAAATCATGCGATGCAGTGGAACGAGACGAGGTTGGGGATGAACATCCGGAGTCGTGCAACCAGTCTACCTTGGGGCCCCACCATAACCATTGTGCTGTTTGTGTTGATGCCCGAGATACGGCGGAGATCAACGCCCACTGCCTTGAGGTCAGAGAGCAACAAGCTCAAAAAGGATGCAGTGTCAGCTTTCTCAACAGTGAGCGAAGCGCAAAACTCAGTGACGATAAGACCGTCGCGCAGAAAAGTGGCAAACACGATCATGTTTGGCGCGACGCCTGTCTGTGCTCTCATCCAGCGTGATCCCAATGAAGGGGCTCGTTAGGAGGTGCTCGAGCTGCGTGGTTTGAAGCCACGTCGCAATTTCTTGTGTGATTTGACCAAAACCGTATCCGTTATACACAATAAACGGGATAGCCAGCCACAAACATCTTGGGATTGTCAATACATAGGAATTGTAATATGTCCTGTACCCCTGCTCCGGAAACCCGGGCACCTTTCTTGATCGCCAGGTAGCCCAATAGCCGAATCCACGAGTCCATGGGCTTGTTGCACTTGCTCATGAAGTACAGCGAGTCCATGAGAGCCGAAAGCTGCACCATCTCCTTGTCCTGCGCTTTCGGGTGTAGGTCGATGTGCTGTTGCCCCGCCACTTTCTTAATCAAGTCGTCCTGCCACTGCAAGGCTACCCGATGCTTCAATGTCTTGGCATGTTTCTTGAAGACTGCGTCTGCACGTCGGTAGCGCCTTCTCCACGCCGTCCACATCTGCCTGCCGATCCAGCAAAATCCGTGCATGTGCTGCATCAGCCAGTATCAGCACGGGCATCAGCAGAAATTTTAGTCAGTATCAGCCATGGGTAATCTGTAGACCAGCGAACTTTGTAACGATCAAGAGCTTCTTTGTATTTCAACTCATGATTCTTGGGAATGGGCTTGGAGCTACACTGCATGGGAGAGTCCGCCCTCACTGGAGCTTCAACATTCAAGGCAGGTGGTGGAGTTGCCCACGCAATGGTAGACTAGAGGTACCACAACTTCGTCGGTGGCGCGAAGGGGGACGGTGCTTTGACGGACGCTTCATGTACCTCCGTCGTTGGCGTCACTGTTACAGGTTCAGTGGCGGCATCGGGCAGAGGATCGGAGTGCGTGGAATTTGGAGCGTAACTTGAACAGGGTTGTGACGGTGGCGCTAGCAGTGCACGGGGCTTCTTTAACGAAGACCTAATGAAATCTAGGTCGGTAACCATGTGGACTAGAGGGCGACGATCTGCATCGTCGTCGTCGCCAGGCCCTTCAGTGGCCGCGTCTGTGGCAGCCATTGAGGCTGCCGCCTTTACTGAGTACAACACTTTAGGGTTAGACCTAGTACTTGTACTCATCTCATGCTTCTAGTCCATCATTCTCACGCGTTATTTCTGACATGGTTTCAGAGTAGGTCCCTCCGTAGGACCACTCCGTTAGGGCCCACCGCTAGCTTCGACCTGCCCGTCCGTTCCTGCCCTGCCCTGAACAGCGTCCCTCACGCTGCCCTGCCTGCGCTGACGTACGCGCTCTACCCTGCGCCGCGCGCTGCCTCCTTGCTGCCCAGCGCGCGACCCGCACGCTGCCCTGCTTGCGCCCTGCTCGCGCTGCCTGCGCTTGCCGCGCGCCCTGTCTGCACGCTACGCCCGCTGCCCGCGCGCTGCCTGCGCTGCCCGCACACTGCCTGCACCGCCCGCGCACTGCATTTGCTGCCCACGCGCTGCTCGCCCCGCCCGTGAACTGCCTGCGCACTGCCTGCACCGCCGTGCCTTGCCCGCACACCGCGCGCCCTGTCTGCGCCCTGCCCGCACGCTGCTGGCACCGCTCGCGAGCTGCCCCTAAGGCCCGTGCCGCCCGTGCTCCGCCCGCACAGCCCGCGTGCTGTCCTGCGCTGCCTGCACGTGCCCTGCACACTCTGCAGCTGCTGCTAAGCTGCTGCCGCCGCCCGCGCTACGCCGCCCTGCGCTGCTGAGCCGCGCCGCGCAGCCCGCGCCACGCCGCCCAGCCGAGTCGCGCCGCCCTGCCGAAGCGCCCAGCTGAGCCACCCTGCCTAGCTGCCCAGTCGAGCTGCCCTTGCTGACGTTCTTGCTGCTACTGCTGCTGCTGCTGCTGCTGCTGCTGCTGCTGCTGCTGCTGGTGCTGGTGCTGCTGCTGCTGGTGCTGCTGCTGCTGCTGCTGCTGCCACTGCTATGGCTACTCTTAATATACCTACCTTTGACGCGGAGGGTCGCCCGATTAGGTTTGACTGCTGGCTCGAGGATCTCCAGCTGTACCTGCAGAGCATCTCTAGGGAGGACGTTTCACTGTTAGAGCACACGTCCGGTTCTTGCCTTGCCCCTGAGGAGTCAGCTGAGCGTGTTCTTCGTACTCAGTGGCTCACGCGCGATGCTGCCGCCCGCCTTTCTGTCCGCAATGCCCTCCCGCTAGAAGAACGAGTCCATTTTGGTCAGCTTAAGACGGCAAAGGAACTCTATGACGCCGTAGTTGCTCGTTACTCCTCCCCCTCTATTGCTGCCCTTGGCCGAATCATGCTGCCGTACCTCTTTCTTGAGCTGTCGGATTTCCACACTGTCGCTGACCTCTTGACCCACCTTCGCTCTAGTGACGTTCGTTACCCTGCCGCTCTCAAGCCGGCCTTTCTGACTGCGAACCAGCCTCCGATGTACATCACTCTATACTACCTCGTTACGCACCTCCTTGACTCCCTCCGCGCCGTTAGGGATCACTTCCTTGCTCTTGACCCTACCGAGCTCACCCTTGACCTGCTGGAGAAGCATCTCCTCAAGGCCGAGACCAGTACTGTCGCTGTAGCTGCCTCTCGTGGCACTCCTTGCTCCCCCTTCTTTGAGGGGTGTTCTCCCTCCCTTCTTGCGCCCTCCGTTGCTACTGCTGCTGCTGTTGACTTCCTTCATACTTAGGAGGTCGGTGCTGCGTCTGCTCCTAGTGGGAGGCGGCGCAGCGGCAAGGGCAAGGGGGGTAAGGGTGGTGGGGGTGGCGCTGGCGGGGGTGGTGGCGGGGGTGGTGGCGGGGGTGGTGGCGGTGGTGGTGGTGGGGGTGGAGGAGGTGGTGGTGGCGGGGGTGGAGGCGGTGGTGGCGGCAGTGGAGGTGGCGGGGGTGGTGGAGGCGGTGGAGTGGCCGGAGGGGGCTAGGGTGGCGGTCGGGGTGGAGCTGGCAGGGGCGGAGGCTATGGGGCGGCGACTGGGGGTGCAGCTCGTGGTGGGGGAGGCACTGGGGGTGGACAGTAGCAGCAGCCACGCCAGCAGGAGCCACGCACCCCTCAGGAGCTTCGTGAGTGGGTTTCCAGCGTGCCTCTTCTGGGGGTAGTGCCTGTTGCCCGTACATCAGGCGCACGAGCCTCAGAACTGGTGAGCCCTGCGGGAAGACTCGGCACACTGTGTACCGTTGCTTCGCCCGTCTCGAAGATGCCTGGCACACCGAGTACGGAGATGATCAGGAAATCCCCAACTGGTTAGGGCTGATAGGCAAGGGAATGGATGTGTTTGCTCTTGACTTTGACAAGATCAATGCTGGAAT